AAAGAGTGTGAAGTCGAAGGCCCTCGCCTGGAGAGCTTCATGGGGATCTGAATCCTGGACCCTAGTTTAACAGCATCTAACCATTACACTATAATGGATACAGCAACTTTTCCCAAGCTAGGTGAGTCTGGCCGGTGCATGTATACATATGTCAGCTTGAGCGTCACAATGGGAAAAGGCCAGGATAAAAATGTAATATAACAAAAAATAACATATCTTGGGTTGAATCCAGCCAGCTTTTTCACTCATCTTAGGGTTGCCAGGTCTTGGTTGGAAAATACCTGGAGACTTTGGGGGTGGATCCAGGAGAAGGCGGGGTTTGGGGAGGGGAGGGGCCTCAGCATGGTACAATGCCATGGAGTCCACCCTTCAAAGCAGCCATTTTCTCCAGGGGAACTGATCTCTATCAGCTGGAGATCAGTTGCAAAAGCGGGAGATCTCCAGGCCCCACCTGGAGGCTCACAACAAGCACACAGGGAACACGGCTAAGTTAGATAAACACAGAAGAAGACAGTTGGACTCTTCATGTTATATAACTTAGTTTGGAAGTGTTTGAAATGTGATGTTGTAGTTTGAAAGTGTTTACAATACACTAGAGTTGATGTTGTGTATATAAAGCAAATATATTTAGCTATAAGTACATGTGAATATTGTGTTTATTATTTCAACACGGTGTTTTCTGTGTTTATCCCACCTGGAGGCTGGAAACTCTAGCTCTTCTTCACCCAATTCCTTTCCACAGTACAGCCCGTATTACGCATGCAGGCCCCATGATTCTCAGTATAAGCTTTTCTGGGAGTCAAACAAGATCTTTCCATTTGGTTTCACCAACAGAAAAGCTGATTGGATTCAGCCCTTTGTCCTCACTCCCAAACTAAAACACAAGCAATTTTATTAAAACTTCATTTTTACCCCACCATTCTCCCCAGTGAAGCAGATTACATTGTTCTCCTCTCTTCCATTTTATTCTCACAACAACCCTGTGAGGTAGGTTAGCCTAAGAGGGTGTGACTGGCCAAAGATAACCCAACAAGCTTTTATGAGTGGGGATTTGAACCTGCATCTCCCAGATCCTCGACCGAGACGCTAACCATCGCATCACATTGGCTCTCACATTTGTTCAAACTGCATTTCTTCACACCCACCCCTTTGTATCTACCCCAGTTTTCCCTCCCTTCCCCCTTGTTATCTCCCCACTGTCCAAATTTGGTTTGTAAACTATTTCAGTCTAGTGCAGGGACTTTCTTGTTAATCTGCAAAGCCCCAAAGCCCCATCGACACAGCTGACATTATTTGTCTACCTGTCTTAACCTTCACGAACACCTGCTTTAGAAAAAAATATATAATAAAGCCAAGATTCACAGGATGTGGAATTCTTTGCTCAGCCTCATCTTCTGAACATGTTTACTGCAACTACTGATTGCCTATGCCATACCCTGTTGTGACAACAGTAAAAAAGAGAGAGATCCAAAGCATATATGATCAAAATAGACTGATCAAATCAATAAAATCTGCTGACTGTGCATCAGTTTGCTTGATCTGCATACTTCGTTCTAAATTTGATACTCTTCTCTTTTTTTGCAAAGCTAGGAGAGTTCTGGGTAGAAAGGGAGATATGAGCAAACCACAACATGTGATAAGCATGCACAGATAGTGAAAAATGGAAGGAGGCCATGAGAGAAGGCTACATAGCCACGTGCTATACAGAAGCATCACCTACTTAATCTTTGCAAGTTGCATACCCACAATAGCAAGGACAAGATTCATCATTATTAATGTGATATAGCGATGCAGCACCATCAGTTTACATGGTCTTTGCCCCCAAGAGGCTGCAATCTAAAGTCAGGGAGAGAGAGAGAACCAGTGAAAGCCAGTGAGGTGCAGTGGTTAGAGTGCAGTACTTGGAAGGCCCTGATTAAAATCCCAACTCTGCCATGAAACTCACTGGGTGACTGTGGGCCAGTCACTCTCTGTCAGCCTAGCCTACCTCACAGGGTTGTTGTGAGGATAAAAAGCAAAAGATGTATACCGCTCTGAGCACCCTAGAGGAACGGTGGCAAAAAACCCCCCATACTAAGTAGATAAACTGATAAAGTACGATGACGGGAACAGACAACCCATGAGAGGATTCAGGAGCAACAGGATAAACATGAAACAGACCCACAGATTTTGTTCTGGTAAAAGCAAGAAGTTAAGCCAGAAGAATAACAGATGGATTTTAAAGAAGGAAGGGGGGTGAGGTGGCATCATGTGAGAGGCAGTGTTGTACAGTGGCTAGCGTGCTGGATTAGGAGTGTGAAGAAATGAGTTCAAAGCTCCCACACAGTTCATCGGGTGATCTTGGGCTAATCGTGCTCCCTCAGCCACACAGAATTGTCACAAGGCTACAACGGGAGAGCGGAGAACCACATAGGTCACCTTGAACTTCATGGAGAAGGAGGGGTTAAAATAAACCTGCTAATACCACAGAAGGGAGTCTTTCCCCTTTACTCAAAAGGAATGACAACACTTTCAGCAACACAGACTTCTGGCCCGTGGGAGGTGGAGTAAAAAGAGCTGTCACACCCAAACAGGTTTCTCTCTACAGCGTTATAATCATCTGTTATATTTCCCCGTAACTATTTCTGTCGCACCTTCAGCATACAGGCAGCTGTGCCATCCTCATCTCTTTCTTTCACAACACCACTGTGAGAAGACAGGTTGAGAGCAACCTGTGCCAGGCACCAGCCTGCAAGTTTAATGGATGAACAGGCCAAGATTTGAATCTGGGTCTCCCACTTCATGCCTTCAGTGCTTTGGTGCAGCTCACTGCCAAGTTTCTGGGAACTAGAAGGGCCTTGGCGGTAATGAAACTGGGTTTCATGTTTTATTATAACGCCTAAAAATAGCACTCAGATCAGTGAAGGCGTGTGGGTGAACTGACTAGCTCAGAGGTCTGCAAACATTTTACAATTAAAGAGCCAAAGTCAGAATCTAGAGGGATCAACAGGGAGCCAGCATAAGGAAGCCCATTTGCCGAGCTGAAGCTACACAACTGGATTTCACTGAAAATTGACAATGTTGGTTAATAATTCTAAGACAGTTCTGCAGCCCAGGCATGGTTTGCTGCGAGTCCTTTATTAAACAGTGGCACCCATGAGGTCTCACAGTAAGTAATAAATATACAACAGGTATGCCCTGCACAATTGTTTTGGGACACTGGCATAAATCAGCACACGGTTTGCATTTGGATTACTGGCAATCACTCGCCTCTTTCATTTCCCTTTCTGTAAAGCATCTCTAGGAAGCCCTTTAATCCCATACAAATCTTTGCCTGCCATTCCCTTCAACCATTCCAGCATCCCATCTACCCTGCCAATATACATTAATGTAAAGATTTCATTTTTTTTCCTCTGCAAAGTGCCATGGTCGGCTCCATACTGAGCCGCATTGGGCAGTCAAGCCATAGGCTCCAAAGCCCTGATCTAGCTAGTACAGACCATACTGAATTTCCTCGGCTTTTCTTCCCTGCCCATTTTTACTACAGGGCCCTTCTCCTGAAGACCCAAAATGTTGCTCTGCTGATCTTAGAACTAATAGCTTGCTGCACAACCTCCAATCACACCTTAGAAAGTGAGAACTTTTTAAAGGTTCATCCAGGATTATTCAATGAAGTAAGGTTCCCCAAAGAGAGCTTGCTGACCACTACTGAATTTCTCTTGCAGTTTACTTATTTTTGTTTAAAAAAAGTGTACTGCAACATCCTAAAAATGACGTGCAGCCAAATACATTCTACGACACACTTTGTGCATGTGCAGGGGAACAACCAGGGAAGTCCATTCATGACCTTTCTAGGATACACGGCAACATTCTTAGCAGGGTTTGGTGGCACGCATGTCAGCAGAAAAGCTGAAAAGCCCCTGTGATTAATCTACAGGAAATAAACAAATGAGGTTTCTCTTCAAACGTGTGTTTCCTCACCAGGCAGCATCTTTAAGATGCTGTCCAAACCACAGCACAGCAGCAGTATATTCACTCACATGGCAGCTGAACTGAGGCCAGGATTCATACCAGCCTAAAGTTAGAAAAGCAAGAAATGAAAGATTGCGGGCAGTCAACAAGGAAAAGGTACAAAGGAGTCACCCACATTGGAATGCAGCCTTGCGGATAAAAACACAAGTCGACTGGCACCTTGGAGACTAGCATTCGTTTCAGCATGAGTCAGAGCTCACTTCTTCAGAAGCCAGGAAGAGGAAATCACTGTAGCAGAGGCAATCTTCTTTGGGAATTTGTATGGGGAAAGTTACCCAGCACTTAAACACACACACACACCACACGCAGAGAGCGATAGGATGGAGAGCACTTAAGTTCAGTCGTGAAACTCCAAAAGTAACTAGTGTGGATTCAAATGATACCACTGTAATCCACCTTGAGTCCAAGTGAGAAAGATGTACTATTAATAATGCAAATAAAATAAATATCCAGTAATCATCCTCTTACACGTCTCATTCAAAGGAATGCCTAGTCCAGGAGGGAACGCACATCATGTCACTGCTGCGATGCAGTCCCTGTTTCAACGACAAAGAACCAATTCCAGAGGTGCTTTTTGCTGAAATAGTTGTTAAAAGCTCTCATCGTAGCAGAAAATAACTTTTAAAAGGTAACGACTTCTTTAGTTAATATACATTCTGCCTTTACTGCATGGAACTCAGTGTGGTGTCGCATACGTTGGGGTCCCGAGCCATCTCCCTGTTCAGGCAATAACTAGACCTTCACGGGAAGGCGAAGCAACCCAGAATTCCCCTCACCTCAGTGATTCCCTAGGCTCTCTGGGCCTCAAGCAGGCCGATTTCCTTCCACCCCCCTTTGACTGACACTCAGCTGCGCTCCTGGTTTGTGTTCTAGGAGCATGCTCAGTCTTCATCTGACCTTTTTTGGTCTCTGGGGGGACAAATTTACATTTTAATTTACATTTCTTCTGCATATCAGGGAAATCAGCTAGGTGACCTTGGGTCAGTTACACTTCTCAGCCTAACCTACCTCACAGAATTGTTACAAGGATAAAACAGAAGAGAGCAATGAAAACCCCTTTGGGTTCCCTACTGAGAAACGCCGGGTATAAATGAGTGAATAAATAAATCTCCACAATGCTTATAGTCCATCACCTTGTTTGTGGCTGGCCGGGTTTTTCTGTTTTGAGAGTCAGGAGGCCCAAAAGTAAATCAAAGCAGAGGGAAACAATTTGGAAATTGAATGACTCAAAATCTGCCTCACCCCAAAACTTTCTCTGCTCTCAGGGGCTCAAGCTGGCTGATTTCTCCTTTCCTCTTTTGACTGACTCTCAGCTTTCAATATTTCATCCTTTCTGGAGAGTCCTGAGTTGTGATAATTTTGAATATCCCGCCTCCCCCCCACGCTTCATGGGTTAATTCACAAAGTCATACTATTTTGCACACTTTGGGAACTCATTGAGGATGTAGCAACCTCTTCCTTATCTGTAAGCAGACCAGTTTGATAGCTTTTATCATCTACCGAGGGACTAGCTGTTTTAACATTAGATAAAGTGATAATACTGCCCTACTTAGCAGGGTTGTTGTTCTGATGGAACCAAGATAATGTAAGTAAAGCGCTCCAAGCATTTAAGAGCACTACAGAACTGTGAAGTATTATTATAATTAAAACACATGGGAGCAACTGCCTCCGAAGACTTTAACCAGAGATTAGACAAATTACTGTAAGATAGATCTATTAACTGTTTTAGCGAGTGTGGAGTAGCTTTAAAGTGTCTGACTAAGATCTGGGAGCCCCTGGTTCAATTCCCCACTCTGCTATGGAAACTTGCTAGCTGACCCTGGGTCATGCACTCTTTCTCAGCTTGACCTGCCTCACAGGGTTGTTGCTGTGAGGATAAAAGGGAAGAGGCAAGAACAGCCCTGGAAGTTGCTTCGGGTCCACCACTGGGGAGGAAAGCAAGGCACACACAAATTTAAAAAGCTGTAAAAGCAGAATGGAACCTCCAAATGAAGAGGCAGTTAACACTTCTGAGTAGCAAATGCTGGGGACAGAGAACAGGAGGGCTGTGACTTCCATGCCATGCAGCAAACATCTGGCTGACACCAGACAGATGTGCTGGTATAGTCTGATCCAGCAATGCAACTATTGTGGGTGGATTAAAGATCAAAGAAGCCAGTCAGACAGTGTTCCTGGGGAAGCAGAGGGCCTCTCGCCCCAGGGTAGAAGGGTGCTCTGCAGATCTCTCCATGTCCTCTTAAAGTCAACTTTCCAGGATTAGTTTTCTCGGCAATACTTACAGCCCATTACGAAATCTTACACAATGGGCCTTGTGCTAGATCGTTGTTAATCTACACCCGGCTGCTAAGGCAAGCTTCTTATCCCAAAATGCCCTGTGAGGGTGACCCAGGCAGAGCCAAGCTGCATGTTACAACAAAACTCTGACAGCGTCAGCTGCTCGGGCCAAATCCTCCTCCCCCCACCCCCAGAGCGTTTGAGGGAAAACGCTGGGCTGTACTTCCCAAACGGAATGCCAGTCAAGACATCCTGAAAGAGCCCAGACGTGCCCGTGCGGGATAGGGCAAAACAAACCAGGGATCAGATCTAAGTGGCGGAGACGTGAGATGGATTAAAGAGCGTGTGCATCTCTGCAGCCTGGTACAAGCCTTGCGCAAGGAACCTATCGCCCTGGTTTATGAAGAGGCAGTGAGCAATGCCTTAGGAAAAGCTAGGAGTCTTCCTTAAAAGCATTTTCTCTCTCTCTCTCGGCATCAGGGTTTGAGCTCCAGAGCTGGGAGCCAAAACAGACAACGGAATCTTGTTTTCAGAAGCCAAAAGCTTCACGCTCCTTCTCACGTGAACACAAGCCCAGTCTCCCCTCCCCCCCAGTCCTTACACCTTATTGTTAGTTATATACTTTTGGAATGCTGCAGGTCAAAGAAATATCCCACAGTAGAGAAGGTTGAGGAATGGCAGGCAGGAAAAGAGAGAGAAAAGAATGAACAAGGTCTCAAAACGACTTTGGAAGTCTGTGTGTGGACTGTAGCAGGCGGTTGGGGGAGTTCAGAGATAATAGGATCACCAAACTCCAGGGAAGAGCTGATTCTTTTAAAGGGCATTATAGAGCCTCCATTAACGCTTGCTGTTCTCTACCTTCACCGCTTCTGGACTGCCAGCTTAGAGTTCAAGGCCTACTGAAGCCTGTTTTGCACACAGAGTTTTCCTCTCTCCCCCCTCCTAAAGCAGGGAATCAATGCAAACTTCCAGACCACTTCTTTGATGGGGGGGGGAGGGGTTCCCAGGCCGCGCTCACTCCCCCCGTCCTTTGCTCACAGCATTGAAAGCAAGTGTAGGTGGTTCAATCCAGAAGGAAAGAAAGGGGGATTCCTCCACCAAATGCACCCCCAAAATCCTCTCCTTCCCTCGCCATCCGAGCAAAGACAAAAAGAGGAGAAGGAAGAAGAAGCAAAAGTGCCCCTTTACCCTCCCCAATACAGAAAACGTCTCTTACCCAGAGAGCAACCAGCTGTTCCACTAACCTTTTTGCATCAACAATAACAGCTTCCAAGCCAGCTGAGGGAGGCGGAGACAGGCCGGTGAGCAAGCGCTACCGGGAATTGTAGTTCTCTCGCCGCCGCGATGCATTAGCAGGAGCGCCGCGGAGAGACTACATCCCCCAAAGAGCCGCGCGAGGCAGGGGAGGTCGCCGGACGTTCTGGGTGGAGTAGTTTCAAAGCTTAAGAGCTGCAAGGGAAAATGGTGCTCGAGAGACTCCAAGTCCCAAGGAGCGGTGTTGGCTGTGGGTGATGGAAGTTGTTAAATGGATGGAGATTAAATAATTCACAGGGAGTTCAAGTTTCTGAAGTGGGGAATCCAATACCCTGGGGCGACTTTCTATAGCTAGGGCCTTGGCTTTGAGTTGGGTGCTTCTAAAGTAATAGAAGCAATTTGCCAAGCAGAGTCTACTTGAAACGCAGGTGGCACGGAAGAACATAGAAAAAACAGCGATGCAAAAAGGGCACCGATATTGAGGACTGCAACCCGGGGGCAGGGGGAATGCAAGTTATTTGCATATAACGTCCAAATGGGAAATACACACCTACCAGGACGTGCGGTCGCTGATCTCGTACAGTATTTATAGATAACCCAGAGGGAGGGTAGTTGTAGCAGATTTACAAATATCTTTGATGGAGAAAGAGAAGCACAGGTTCTTATGCATAGAAAAGTAGACGCGCAATCTCAGGTACAAACAGTGAGAAAGTACAGGTACAGGAAGGATACACACAGGAAGGAAATCAGTGGCATTTCATGTTACATCCTTACAAAGTCCAGTCTTGCATGTGCAAGGGCAAATGTTACTGAAGGCCATAAAGGGTGCAATGCTACCAACCAAGGATTACCAGCTCTGGGTTGGAAAACTGGAGATTTGGGGGAGGGCATGGTTTGGGGAAGGGAGGGACCTCAGCGGGGTAGGCCATAGAGTTTACCTTCCAAAGTGGATATTGTCTCCAAGGGACTGCTCTGTGTAGCCTGGAGATCAATTGTAATTCTGGATGGATCTCCAGCCACCACCAGGAGGTTAGCAACCCTAGCAATAAGGACCGTTTTGTTGGGGCCCCATAAGCAGACTGTTTTAGGATGGCTCTGTGAATACGGGAGAGGCTTGTTTCCAAACTTGCCTCTAGATGCTGTTAATATCCCACTGAATCCTCAAAACTGCACAATTCTCCCAGCAAAGTCTAACTTGCAAAGAGTCTAGACTTGCCAGGGCCTGTTTGAGGTAGCAGTACAAGTTTTGCAAAGCTCATTTTAGCTAGCCTGGAGTTCTTACGTGGTGCTGTTTTGATCTAACAAGAGTAGCTTTTCATCTAATTATTTACATTATTTATGCCCCCTCCCCCCTGGGACTCAAGGTGGATTACACATAATGAGTCAATAAAATCAACAGGATGGGATAGTCAATAAACAATGAAATAGGATTTGGATTGTAGAACCAAGCAGAAGTCTACAAAAACAACTGAAGCAAAGTCATGACACATTAAATTATGCAAAACTCATAGTAGGACCCTGGTTCTAGCAAGCTATACACAGTCCCTAATAATTTGTCCAAGTAATTTTGCAAATCATTTTGTGCAGTGCTATCCTATTGCCTACGTAGAAAGGCCCTCTTGATCAATTCAGTTCTGCATCACTTACAGAAAGCCAGGAGTGTGGAAGCCTTCCTGATCTCCTCAGGCTGGCCGTTTCACAAGATGGGAGCCACAACAGAGATGGCCATGTGTATGAGCAGTTGTTGATTTTGCCCAGGGCTCTTTTTGTAGAAAAAGCCCAGCAGGAACTCATTAGCATAATAGGCCACACCCAACAGCAGGAGCTCACTAGCATATTAGGCCACACCCCTGACAACACAGTTCATTAGCATACTAGGCCACACCCCCATGTTTACCATAAGTGTAGTTATCCAGCCATACCCACCTTTTGCTTGTTATTCTGTTTATCTTGTTTGTTGTCAAAACCCAGGGCTTTTTTTGTAGCAGGAACTCCTTTGCATGTTAGGCCACACACCCCTAATGTAGCCAATCCTAATGAGTTTCTGCTGTTGGGTGTGGCCTATTATGCTAATGAGTTCCTGCTGGGCGTGGCCAACTTGGGAGCCAGCCGGAACTCCGTTCCTGTGCGTTCCTGCCCAAAAATAGCCCTGATTTTGCCAATTTTCATGTTGGCACCTGCAGAAGGCCCTGCTCAGATGAATTAAGCTGTTCTGGGAGAGCACAAAGGGAGAGATGCTCTCGCAGATATGAGGGTTCAAGGCCATGAAGGGCTTTGTATATGATAGCTAATACTTTAAACTGAGGCTGGCAACTGATGGGCAGCCAGTGGTGTGAATGCAGAATGGGAGTACCTTGCATGCTCCGTCTAGCTCCCGATAATAGCTGAGCTGCACCAATTGGAGTTTCTGAATTGATTTTGAGGGGAGACCAATGTACAGCGCATTTCAGTAGTCTAGTCTTGATGTCACCATGGCATGGATCCAGGTGGCCAGATCAATGTATCAATATATGAGGCCATTTTTCGAGCTAGGCTAAATTGGTAGAAAGCCTTTTTTTGCAGCTACATTAACTTACTTCTCCCAAGCAATAATGTTGGGTTGAGTATGACCCTGAAGCCTTCTGAAGCCTTCTGTTTTTTCAAGGTTTAGGGTCAGTTCATTCACTGTTAGCCACTGAACCACAGCAGCCAAGCAGCGGTTTAGGACCTCTACTGCATCACCAGGAGATTTGGATAAGGATATATATAGATGTGTATTGTCTGCATATTGTTGACAGCCAACCCCCAAACTATGACTGATTTGACCTAAGGGCTTTACATAAAGGTTTGAGAGCAAGGGGGATAGGATTGTGTCCTGTGGGACCCCACAGGATACCTCCCACCCTGATGAGAACTGGTTTCCAATGGCAGTTCTTTGGTCCAGTCCATGAGGAATTATTTGAACCAGTCCTACACACAATCCCTGATGCCTACTTCTGTTTCCAGGCATATCAACAAGATGTCATGGTCCACTGTGTCCAAGGCAGCAGATAAATCCAGTAGGAGCGACAAGGAAGCCAGACCTTTGTCTATATTTAGACTGGGTTAAAGTGGTCCATAAACAGAATATGCAATATATTAGTCAGTTCTTCCAGTAGATCTGTGTTACAGTCAGCATCTAAATCAAGAGTGTAGTCTTGATATTTTATCAGCAAAAAAAACTTTGCAAAAGTATCACAACTAATTATCTGGTCCTGATACAATGAAGGCTCAGTTTTAGGAGTCAGCAGATGCCATAGACTGCCAAAAAGACAAATAAGTAGGTTCTGGATCAACTCAAGCCTGACCTCTCCTTAAAAGCTAAAATGACAAAACTTAAGCTTTCATACTTTGGTCACATTGTGAGAAGACAAGAGTCACTGGACAAGACAATAATGCTGGGGAAAGTTGAATGCAATACGAAAAGAGGAAGACCCAACATACAATGGATTGATTCTATTAAGGAAGCCATGGTGCTCTGTTTGCAACTCTGAGGATGATTGTTAACAACGGGACTTTTGGAGGTCATTATTTCTAGGGATGGGCATGAACTGGGAAAATGCGGTTCAGTTCATGGTTTGTGGTGTGCGAACCATGAACTGTCACAAATTTTTAGCAGCCAAATGAACTGGTTTGGTTTATTTGGTTTCTGACCCATTTCCTGAACCGATCCCGTGCAAGTTAGAGGTACCAAACTTGCAGGGGATCTCTGGCTGACTCTCCTCTACCTGTCCTCCAAGTTTGGTGACAATTGGATTTATGGGGTCTGAGTTATGGTTCCCCAAAGAACGTGGCCTTAAGAAAGTGCTTTCTGGGGAAATAACCACCTGCTATTTCCCCAGAAAGCACTTTCCCCTTATTTGGGGGGCTGTTACTCTGGCCCTGTAAATCCAGTCCTCACCAAACCTGAAGGGCATGTAGAGAAGATTCAGATGGAGATTCCCTGAAAATTTGGTGTCTCTAGTTTGCACTAGATCCATTCTATACACTCCTGAACCTGTGTCTGTCAAAATGACCACAGGCAGTCATTTTAACAGGTGCAGGCTCAAGTGGTTCAGGAGTGTACAGAATGGATCCTGTGCAAGCTAGAGACATCAAAGTAGCAGGGGACCTCCCCCAGATGCTTCTCTATATGTCCTCCAAGTTGTTGCTTTGAAGTTTGGTAAACCTGTAGATTGAGCAGAAACAGTCTGTCTGGAAATGTATCTGTTCACGAACCAGCACAAACCTCCATGAACAGCTTGAAAGTTTGTGAAAGGTTCATGCTAGTTGACAGGCCACAAAATTCACTTTGCAAACCATGAACCAGCCAAAAATTCACCACAAACTTTAGTTCGTGAGTTGGTGTGTGCCCATCCCTAGTTATTTCACAGAGTTGCCATAAGTTGGAAGTGTCTTGACGGCACTTAACACAGATGCCATGTTTCCTTAAACACTGGGATCGGTTGTGAACTAGCCGATACAATAGTAGCAGATAAGTAACATTTCTTAGCTGCTGTCACCACTACATAGGTCTCACAATAAGCTCTATCACATGATTTGTGAAATTCAGGATGAGTTCTCCACCAGCACAGTTCTAGACATTGCCCAGCCCTTTTCAGATTACCCAGCTCTATGGTAAACTAAGGGTCAGAGTTCTGTCAAGAGGTCATTGATGGGTGGTCTCCCATCCAAATACCAACCAGGGCTGACCCTGCTTAGCTTAGATCTGATAAGATCAGACTTGCCTGGACCTTCCAGGTCAGGGCAGGTAAGGAGGAACTGAATGGCTTTAGTCCCTTCCACCTAACTGACAGTATATGGCTGTCCAGTTATCAGTGTTCGGTTTAGTAAGTGCTAGCTATTCCTCCCTTAAACAGCCTGGCACTAGAACTCTTTTTATTTTATTTAACTGATTTGAAACTTTTCTATGCCAACCTTCCACTCAAATACGGTTCGCTAGGTGGCAAATATCAAACCATTGACAACAGCATGCTAGGAAAAGCTGAAGGCGGCAGGAAAAGAAGAAGAAGA